CGGTGGGCGCGCTGGTGCCTCTCGGGGGAGGGGAGGCGCTTCGGAGGAAGACTGGATTCCGTGGCCGGCCCGCGCCTCCCACTCCCGGTGTCCCCCAAATTTGCAGGGGCGCCCGGGGATGTGCGGCGGGCCGGCCGGGTGGGACGCTGGCGCGGCGGTCCCCACCGCTCTGGCCAGCAGGGGTCATCCCGTCCTTCGCGGGGCGGGCACGGGGCGCCGGGGCCTCGTGGGCCGGAGGGGCGAGGAGGCGAGGAGGCGAGGTGCCCGTGGCCTTTTCCCCGCGGCCCCGGCGCGAACCGAAGCCGGGACCGGACGGGAACCGCAGAGCGAGGTGCCCGGGCCGCGCCGCACCCCGGCCGCCGCGCCGAGCGCTCCAGGCCCGGCTGGAGGAGCGACCTCGGCGCCCGCGTCGTCCCCGGCGGCCCGGGCGCCTTTGTCTGGTCTCGGGGGTCTCCCGGGGAGCGGCGGCGCAGGGCTGCGGCGGCGCGGCCGGGGCTGTGCGGCGCGGCGGGCGCGGGCCGGGCGCGGCGCGACTGGGAAGCGGCCGGCGAGCTGCGGAGGCAGAAGCGCGGGGCGGCGGCCCAAGGCTCGGTGGGGACGGGGCGGCGGCCCAAGGCTCGGTGGGGACGCGGTGGCGGACCTGGAGCCGAAGGCCCACCTCGCTCCAGTGCCCAGCGCAGCCCTCGACTCCCGCCGGGGACCGCCGCGCAGAAGCGGGGACCCCGGGGCGCGTCTCCGCGCACCCGCCCGGGACCGAGACGGCACGCGCACTTTACCGGTAACGCCGGGTGGGTGGGAGGGGGCTCCGGCCAGTCCGGAACCCAAGGTCCCGGGGGTTGGCTTTGTTCGCCGATGGGGGCCTGAGGTCCCCGCTTCGCTCAGGATCGCGAGCCATCGATCGCCCCGGCTTTCCGGCTGCATTAGCATCCGCAGCGCCCGGGCTGCCCGGCTGTCTCCCGCCCGCCCGCCCGCCCGCTCGATAGTGGGGTGAAAGACACTCGCTCCGTCTCTGCAGATCGAGGGAGCAGGGCCGGCTGCACGACCGGCCGCATCTCGTGCACGACTCATCCGGCGGACACAAGCTTAGAAAGACGAGGAATCATTTTCTACCCAACCGCGGGGACAGTTCTGCCCTTCCTTTGCTTATCGAGATGAACAATGAGAGACACGGGTCGCCTTAAAGCACGGAGCAGACTGTCGTTGGAGGGCGAGAGCCAGACAATGATTGCGACAGAGCCGCAGTCTACGCCCAGACACAGAGCGCAGCGCTCCGTGAGCACTGTACATGGGAGTTCCAACCTTGACTTTCTTTTTTGGGAGGAGGCTACATCTCCTGACCTTTTCTCTAGTGCGTGGGTCTCTACGACACTGAGTACACACCTCCCTACAAGGTACCTTGCCCTCCGATCCACAGGTCTCCCGGAATAAGCCAAGGGTCAGTTTTTCCTGACTCCTTAAATTCCTTCTTCCTTCTGAGCCAGAAACTCCATTCACTTTTCCTGTAGGGTCGTGTTTTCAGAAGAGGGTGTTCACTGAGCCCTCAGATTTCACTCTTCAGCCCCACACACTGCCACCCCTTCCCTCACCCTGCTCCTGGCTATTCGAAACTGCCTCACAGTCTTGCCTGCACTCTGGGAACTTTATATGAGCCTTCCTCAAAACGTGGCATCTTTCTTCCTACCCACTGTATATGAAAGCTGCCGGCTAGCGGCAAAGTGAGAATGGGATTTGATCTAAATTTGCTAGATTTCTAGTTGCAGACATACGGAGAAGGAGGGAGGGAAGGAGGGAGAGAGGGAGGGAGAGAAAGAGGGGGGAGAGAAAGAGAGGTTTCAGAGCTGGAGGCATAGCTCAGAGTCTGGCTCAGGGGGTCCCCCAGTTATGGTTATGCGAGGAGCAGGCTGGGGATTCGAGGGGAATCCACAGGATACTCAGGTCTGTGGACTGTGTGAGAGAGCACAGAAGGAGGGCATTCTTCCTACCCAGAAGGGGTCAGGTGAAGGTGCAGAGAATAAAAGGGTGAAGCTGGGACCCTAACACTAGTCTGGGTGTCTGTCTGGCATGGCCTTAGGAGGTTGCCGACCTGAGAGTCAAAACCTGTTTCAAGGGGCTCTTATGCCCCCTGCTCGGTGGGGTTAGCAACGCACAAAACGTGCCTCAGAAACTGTGGGGCATGCCCACCAAGCCCAGCTTCCTCTCCAGAGCCCCTTCGCCCTCTAGTTCCAGTCCACTCATGCCCCTTACCAGGCTGCTTAGCTTCTTGGGGGTCCTGCATCTCAGACTTCCTTTTTCCGGCACTGTAGCTGGTTCCTGACTGCCCACTCTGTCTCTGGAGCACTAGGACTTAACTCTCCTCCTGAACTCTGTCCAATCTTACCACCCTCCCTTTTCTCTCTGTTGGTAAATTGCTTGGGGCTGAAGAGGGCAGCTCATCAAAAGATCTCAGTTTCTTTTCTTTCTTTCTTTTTTTTTTTTTTTGGTTGCTGCTGCCATGGTTCTTCCTTTATCATTAGAAATTTATTATTTTTATTATTGACCTGGGCTAGTGAAAATAAAATGAGACCGAGTTAGGAGACTGGCTGTGTGTGGCGATATTCTTTCTGGGCAAAAGAGACCTTGTGTGGGAACCCATTTTTATTTTTTATTTCTAGAAAAGAAAATCACATCTTCATACAGTCATGTTTTAATTATCATTAATATTAATATGAAGCAACTCTGTACACGTACTATATAAAGGGAAAACGTGCTGAAGACAGATGTTTGAACAGGAGGGCACACTAGAGAGCTGGGGTAGAAGAAGAGGGGGCATCTACCCACAAGGTTACACTAGGTAGTAGCAACAGACAGAACAGGACACAAATTGACAGAAAAGCTCACAGACATCAAAATTTAAAGCAACAGGAAGAATATTGCATATCTTAGTCCCTCACCCCATTCTGGGGTGTTCTGATCTTGCTTCTCTATTAGGCCTTGAGAGTCAAGTAGAGTGGTAGAGCTTGAACCCAGCACCCCCAGAGCCCAGGAAGTCACAGGAAGGGCTGCTTAGAGGGGTACGTGGGTGGCAAAGGGGCGAGTGCCCCAGTCCACGGGGGCGGGGGAGTGTGCAGACGCTGGAGTGGGGGCGATTTCCGTGAAACAAGTTCACGTGGGTGGGTGTTCAGGGGGGAGTTCAGGGGGGATCCCATGGTCACTCTGCAGGGCTGAATTGGGGAGTATGAGGCCGCCAGCTTGCAAGTACAGTTGGACAATGGGTCTTTGCAGGAGCATGCTGGGCTTAGTTCTTCTCACACTAATATTGTATCAGGAACTTGAAGGGGGGGGGTGCTGCCAGGAAGGGCAGAAACTTGTGAATTGCTTTTGGAGGGTGTTTAGGGGAGAGAATCCCCAGGCAAGAAGAATTGCAAGTTAGCAGTACAGTTCCACACTATCCAGCTTGAGATTTATCTCCCATGGTTCCCTGCTTCTCACCCCTTTGCTCCTGGCCAGGGTAGGTCAGCAGATGAGTTGGAAAGACTCACCCAGAGGGGTAGAGAACAGAATACAAGGGAAGCAGGTGGTTTCCTTTACTATTCTGGCCTCCTAAGCCAGCCCACGGTCTCAGGCTGAGGCTGCAGTGGGAAGGAGACTGTTAAAAAAAAAAAAGGTCTTGGAATGGAGAACCACTCTGTGGTCTCTAACCAGTTCTAGAGATGAGTCCCTCCATCCGCTTTGGTCCTTGTACTCGGTGGCTCACTGGCCTGGGAGGCAGAGGCAGTGGATCCTGAGACAAAGGGTGACGCTGGGAGGGAGGGTGGAATGGGGGTGAGTCAAAGAGAGAAAGGGGGTGGGTTAAAAAAGAGAAAGGAGATGGGTGGGGGGCTACAGTGCCCCCCTCCTTCATTGTCACCAGCCTGGGAAACCCGCCTGAGTAGGGGGCCTTGGAGGCTGGTATCCCCTTTGGGGCGGATTCTTCTCCCGCCTCGTAAATTATGCCGGTCCAGCCTCCGGCCATGACCATGAACGCCAGCAGGGAAGGCAGAATCTCGGTGGGGCCTCAGTGGCTGCAACAAACTCTCCAGGCCAATCACTGTCAGCTCTGCAGCCCCTTTCACGCCCCCTGGGCTTCCAGGGGGGGCCGGTGGGGGGTCTCAGGGTGGCGACTGATCTTGAAGCTACCTCGGATTTACTCCCAATTCCCCACTTGGGTTTCTCTGTGGCTGCCTCAGTGGCAGGAAGGGTTAGAAGAGAGCACACCTGTAAGCAAATAGGCAGGCAGGAGTCTCAGGGGAGGGCTGGGCCTCCCTCGAGAGCTTTCAGGCAGCTTCTTCCAGAGAGAACTTGAGCCTGATGATTGTAAGGATCGCCTAGCCCGCAGCCCGCTCAGTCAATCATGCCAGGCCCGGAGAACTCAGACTCCCAAAGACTTGTTCATCCTTCTGTTCTTCCAAATTGTACTTCCCTCCTGGAGCCCCTCACTTCCTCCTGGTCTCCCAGAGCTATGCCCCTCCACATTCTCTGCCAATTCTCGGCCTTTGCTCCCTCCTCTCAGCCTCTTCCAATCTCAATAACTGTGAGTTTGGGGAGCTTTGGTTCCACTGTCCACCCCTTCCCCCCCACCCTGCCTACCTCCCCCAGTCTACTCCTGCAGAGATGTTTAAGAACATGGAAGGAAAGTGGTGGGAAGGGGCACCTGGACTGCCTCTCCTTCAAAGATCCTGCTAGAGGCCCAGCACCCCTCTCTGGCCTCAAACCACCCCTTGCTTCTGGCCTGACCCCCCTCCCCCTGTGAGCTGGGGCCTTTCTCTCTCCCTAGCTGGGTTTCTCCCCTTCTCTCTGGGACCTGGCAGGACTTGCTGGGGATGTGCGGGAGGGAACCAAGAACAAAACAGACAAGAGGACATCCAGAGAGGGCCTGCCAGAGACGCCCGGCATTCTAAGTGGGGCCTAGGTCCCAGGGAGCGGCCCCTCTTGCTCTCTGCAGAGACAGGCTCAGTCCGGGGCTGGACCCCTTGTCTTGCCCCCTAAAAGAAGGAGAGGGCTTGCTCCCTCAACAGAAGTCTTTTCTTTTTCATTCTCCGGTTCTGAAACCAGATCTTGACCTGCTGGTCACTAAGATTCAAGCGGTCTGAGAGTTCCCTCCGGCGCTGCCGCGTGATGAACTCGTTCACCAGAAACTCTCCCTCCAGCTCCGCCAGCTGCAACTTCGAATAGGGCTTGCGCTTCTTCCGGGACCGGCTGTGGATCGGGTACCAGGGCGCGCCTGGATGGAGACGAACCGGCAGGGTTGGCCAGAGTTCCCAAAGGTGACAAGCCCAGAGCCCGCGGTCCTTCCCGGCCCTTTCGCTTTGGCCTAAGGCTTGCCCAGGTGCGTTCTCTCCTGGCCCCCCTCAGAACTCCTCCTCCACACTCACCCCTCAAAACTCCCTCGCCTTCACAATTCTCCTTCCTCCCTTTCACTCCTTCCCCTTGTCTCCTCACTTCACAGTCTCTGACAGGACCCCGACCCGACCCTCCCGTTCCTATGCCCTCCCGTCTCTCCAACCTCTTCTGAATATCCCCACCCGGTCGGTTGGTCACCCTCCTCCCGAAGGACATCCCGGGGTCCGTTAGAACTGACATGGTAACGTGCAAGTGGCAAGAGTTAACCTGGCCCTCTGGCCTTCTTAAAGAAAATCTATAGGATTGGGGAGTGTGGGCTGAAGGAGAGGCCCTGGAGGGGCAGGAACCGAGCTCCCCTGCCCCTCCACCCCCCTGGGGAAGTCTGGCCAGAATCCCCCCTCCTCCAGAGCTCCCTGCCCCCTCCAGCCAAAGCGGGCGAAAAAGGGACATCCCTGCCTTTCTTTTACGGGGATATTTACATGTTTATAGGCCCCCCCACACCCCTGGCGCTTCTTAAAAGAGGCGCGCCCCGCGACACAGCGTCACCCCGGCAGCCCTAGCTCTGCCCTGGCGGCCCTCGCCCTGCCTCGCGCGGGGACGGGGGTCCTTACCGCTGCCCGGGAGCCCGCCGCCGGGGTTCAGAGGCGACACCAAGCTGCCGGGGTCGCCCGCACCGGCGCCCTTGTTGCCCTCGTTGAGCAGGGACGAACTGGAGTCGGATTCCAGGGACTGGCACGAGGGCGGGTCGTGCGGGGGTCCCGCGCCCCCCTCGCCGCCGCCGCCGCCGCCGCCGCCGCCCGCGGCCGCCGCGTAGTCGTACTTGAAGCCGAGCGCGGGCGGCCCCGACGGCTCGAGCGGCAGCAGCGCGGCCCCCGGGCCGACCCCCGGGCCGACCCCCGGGCCCGGCTCGCGCGCGCGCTCCTCGCGCTTCAGGCCCGCGCCGCCCTCGGCGCACGGCTCGCGGTAGTAGCCCTTGCTGTCCTCCACGCGCGCCAGCTCGCACGTGCGGCCGAAGGGCGGGCTGAGCGACACGGGGCCGCCGAGGTAGGGCTGCGGGTACCCATTGCACGGCTCCGCCGACGGCCAGGGCAGCGAGCACACGTTGTCGCGGCGCGGGTACGACAGCGACGGCAGCGCGGGCAGCTGCGCCCCGGACGCGCGGAAGTTGGGGAAGTAGAAGGTGTCTCCCGTGTGGATGTTCACCAGCGGCCCCACAAACCCGGGATTCAAGAGATTGTGCTCGCCCATTTCCGCGAGGCCCGACCGGCAGCGTCTAGTTTATTGCCATCTGACATTAAACATAGTTAAACCTGCACCGGCCACCCATTGGCCGTCCGGCTCACGTGGGCGCCGCCGCCGAGGGGATGGGTGGGGACAGCGCGCCCCCCACCCCCACGCACCAACTCTAACTTCCCTTTTCCCCAGTTGCGGGGGGGGGGGCGCGCAAAACGAGGGGGCAGATTTATTCGCCGGGTTCTTCTTTTTTTTTTTTCTTTAATCATATAAAACGCAACGCAGAGTGTGAAGGCGATCGCTCGACACGGGGCGAGAGGGAACGGGCCGCCAAAATTACCCGCACACACGCGTTTCTGCTCCCCTACCCCCCCCGCCCCCCACTCCCATGTATTATCTTCTCGCCAACAGCTGGCCGAGCCCAGCCCGTCCCTTTTTAATTAGCTCCTTTATTAACTAAAACCGTTGGAATTTACAATATCTCCCCAATAAATTACTATTAGATATTGTGTCATATAAAGTTTACTGGCTGTTTAAGGAGACGGATGAGCCCTTTGGCTCGGGGTTTATTTACAGTAGAGGGAAGTGGGGGTAAGGACAGGTTTCCCTGCCTCTGTAGCTCCCAGCCCTGGCACTGTTGCGTTTCTCTCCCTCAGCTGTTTCTGCTCAGGAACTTGGGAGAGACACTGGGGTCTTCTTCTCCAGCAAGGACAAGGAGAATTGTTTTGCCAGGTCGTTTCCTGAGGAACTTAGGGGAACCACCCAGCCTCGCACTTCTCCTCCGGTAGAGAAGGGATGCAGAAGCAGCAGAAAAAAGGAGGTACCCAGCTTAATTAGAATCTGCCTGTCTGCTTTTGAAAATATGGAGTTCTAACTGTCCTTTCTTATGGCTTCTGAAGATTGGCGGGAGGCTTCTGTCCAGTGAGGGGGCTATCTTGGAGACTTGGCACTGGGACCTCAGCTTGACTGGCCGGAGAGGTTCCCAATTCCTGGTACAGAGAAGACAACACACCCCGGAACTGGCCCAGTATGTTGCAGGGATCGTCAAATGCTGAGGCCAGTAGATGTGCTGGGTGTGAGGGAAAGGACCCCGGAGAATTACTGTGTCGGATGCTAAAAATTATGTTTATCTGCTAACCTCAGCTGTCCCTTTCAGAGAAAGCGGAGAACTCAGCTCTGACCATTAGCGAATTTAAATCAGCATCTGGAAATCACAGCCTGATCTCAACTAACTCCCTAAAACACAATAAGCAAATTAAGGTGGGTGGGGGAGGGATGTTCAGAACCGAATGTATTATACTGAGGTCTAGTCGATAAGTATTAGAATTTATACATGGTCATTTCCACACATATCCCCGTCATCACACAGCTTTAAGTCATCCAAGGTAAGGGAAATAATGCGACCAATGTCTCAATATGAGAAAACACCAGACGGTTGAGAAAACGAGACCGAGTAAATCAGAGAGAATCGGAGAGAACGCAATCCACAGAGGCGAAGGTTAAATAGCTGAGAATGAGAGGGAGCTGCAAAAGCAAACCAGGCAGAAGATTCACCTCCCTCTCTTCTCCGGCAGGACTCTCAGAGAGAAATGTAGATTCTTGGAATTCCACCGCTCCTGGGGTGATTTCATATACCAAACCAAAGCAGAGGACTGGGACAGAAATGTGCTCGCGATCTCATGAAGAAGCTCAGTGACGCCCCTAATCTCCCCTTCTCTGTGCTCCATGCATCCCAACACTGCCTGGCCAGTTTCTCCTGCCGCCAGGAAGCAACCCGCTGCCAAGGAGGAGCCCAAATGCGGAAACCCGAAGGCCCTGGGTTGAGCTGTCAGCCCGGAGCAGTTATTCCATTCAGATCTGCAGCGAGCCAGACGCGCCCAGGAGCGGGTGGGAGACCGCCTGCCTTGGCCCTTTGTGCCTAATTGATGCCGGGTCTATGATTCTGCAGAGTGCACCTCACAGCACCCCAGCATCTTCGTCACGACCCCCCTTTCAAGAGACATTCATGAGCACCCCTGAGATAGAATTCTTAATGTACGGGGGAGTCACTCATTTATCATCAAGATAAACAGGGCGTGGCTTTAATATTGTTGCTGTTTTCAGCCCGAGGCTAGGTCTCCGGGCTGCCAGGCCTCAGAGCAGCGGCTATTGTTGGTGCGAGGGACGCCGGAAAGGACCCAGTGAGCAATCACGAATCCTAGTGTGGCGGAGGCTTGGCCCCATTTTTCTCCCGCAAGCTCTCATGACACCGATCTTAGGGAAAGGGGACCTCAGGATTCTCAGCCTTTCTCCATTCGTCTCTGGCTGGAGAATCTGTGACCTGGCTGTAGCTTTTCTCGAAGCCCTTCCCCGGTAGGCAGCGGGGCTTGCGGAGACGCGGCCACCGGTCGCAGATGCGGCACCCGGACACCCGGACAAGAGGATGCAGGGAGGTTTCCTTCCGAAACACACTCTTCCCCTGCGATTTGACCCCAGCCCCAAGACCGGTTCCCCGGGGCTAACGGACTCCGAGGGTACCGGCACACGCTGAACCCCATCTTCCTTCCGTCCAGTTGCCCCGGTCCCTACCGGGAACGCTCAACAAAATTTGCATCCTTAAGTGTCTTGCTCAACAAAATTTGCATCCTTAAGTGTCCTGCTCGTCAAGACCCGTGGTGAACCTTGGGTTCTGCGGGACTCTGCAAAGACCCAGACATCCACGAGCCTCGCTTCTCTGAGAAGCACCGCGGCGGCCCGAACCGCCTTGGTCCGGGCGAACCCCACCTTCCACTCACGCAGCTCCGCTCCCCTTCCTTGACCGGGCTCCGACTCACAGCCCTAGAGAGCCGCTCCCAGCCTGGGTCCCCAGGGCCGGCGGGAGGCTCGGGTGCGAAGCTTCAAACCTAAATCCTGCCTTGGCGAGAGCTGCTGACCAGGAGCCCGCAAGGACCGGGCCGGAAGACTTCTGCGAGGGTCTCGCCTTCCCGGGCGCCCGGAGGCTGCATCCAGCCAGGCTCAAGCCGCGGCCACTTCGCTGCCCAACGGCAGCGCTGCAGCGGACTAGTCCGCGGCTCGACCGCGGGGCGCGCCTGTGCGTCCCCTCGCCCGACACATTCATCAAACCACACGGTCAGAAGAGGAGGCCTGCTCGCTGGCCCCTTGGCCACGGACTCCGGCTGTGCTGGCCTGGATCAGCCGTGTCCTGCCCGTTCGCTTGAGGGCTCATTCAAACCGAAGGCAGGGGTGTGATCCGAGGCCTCCCTCGGAGACCCGCGGCGGCCCTCGAGCTTCAGCGCATCGTCCGCCCGGGGGCTGCGCCCGCAGCCTCTCCCCGCGCTTCGCGCCGGCTCCATCCCTCGCGCATCCGCAGTGCCGGGTCCCCAAGGCCGAGCCCGGCGAAAGGAGCGCGCTACAAAGTCGACGCGGAGGCCGGCTCCGAGCGGCTGCGGGAGCCCAAGGCCACGGGGCGCGCGTGCGAGAGGCCGCGCTCGGCTTCCCTACGGGAGCCAAGTCGGAATCGCACGGCGGGCGCGGCGCTCGCATCCCCGGGGCAGGTCAATCGAGAGGCCGCGGCTGCCCGGTTCAAGGTCACCGCCTAATTTGCGAAAGCCGAGCGGTCGCGTATGCAAATGAGGCAGGGCCGGGGCCGCCGGAGGGGAGCGACCCGGAGCTAGGCCGGCGGGGAGAGGAGAGACGAAATCCGGCGGAGGGGCACCGATCTGAACCCTGGTGCCACCCCTCAGCCTTCTCCGATATCTCGATACCAGGATACAAGGACTGGGAGGGGACGGCAGCGCAGGCTTGGACCAGACCTTTGTCCCGATGGACAAGGCCGCGGGGTGGAAGTGGGGGCTCGGTCGGTCCCTTCTAGCTCCTCTTTGTGTCCACCTGGCCTCCAACCTTCCCACTCCAGGATTTAGGAGGTGACTTGGACCCACCTGACCCAGGTATTTCTTTTCAGATTTTGGCTCCAGGTTCCGCAGCCTGGACCGCACAACGGTGTGAGTGGAGGGGAAGATGGGGGCTTACAGAAGCCCCGGATGGGGATCCCAGTCAGGCTTTCAGGCTCACAAAAGCTGCCGGGGATCAACAGCTTTCTCACCTCCCCTTGTCCTCATCCCCTGCTGCCTTTCCTCCCCTCAACCCACAAGAGCCAGCACAGTGGTCACTCTGGAAATGGGGAAGGGATTGGGGGCTTCTGGGTGAGCACCTTGGGAAGACCACCTCTTCACCCTTCACCTGAGCATCCGTAAATTGGCCACGTCTCCCCGTTTTCTCTGCCCGTTGGGTGCACTCATATTTTGTGGACTCTGACATTTCCCCCCTCCTGCCAGCAGAGGATCTCCTCCGCCTAATGAATTACTGAGTGTCAGGGAAGATGTGATACCAAGTCAAAACAAAACACAGCACTCAGCCTACACCACACCCACAGCCGCCTGCCCAGTCAGTGGGAGCCCAGGACCAGGTCTCTGGTTCGTCAGAGCCTGGGATGGAATGAGGACCGTTGTGTGTCCTCTGCTCCTCGTCAGCCCCTGCCCAGGTGGCTCCTGCCAGGCCTGTCCTGGAGTGGGCCGAGATCTGCTTAGGGTCTGTTCCAGCCAGGCCCAGGTACCCAAAGGACTTCCCAAACCCAAACTCTCAGTTTGCGGGTGCAAAGGGGCTGACTGGGGTGTGGCGGCGGATCAGTCCAGAAGGCAGGGGAGGTGATGAGGCAGAGTGTCGGGAAGACCACAGGAGTCTGGCTGAGCCCGTAGGGCAGGGGTGCACTTACCTCTGGAGACGGTGCTCAGACAGGTGCGTCGGGGCGGGGGTTCTCGGCCTCTAGAAGCCCTCTGGGTCCCCCCACCCCAAGGCCACCCGCAGGCCCAGCCGCGGGATCTGAGGGCGGGGCGGAGGAGGCGGAGGAGGCGGAGGGAGCGGCCAGCGGTCGGCGCGCGGGAGCCGAGCTGCTGAGCATCTCTGGAGAGCCGCCTTTTATGGGCGTTATTAGCGCCCCTGTCTAGACTGGCGACGACACCTCCTCTGTGTGTAAACAG